CCAAAAAAAAATCTGACTCCCTTTTCCTATAGCTAAACATTTTTAGCTTTTTTTTGCTTTTTTAATTTAGAATGGTTAAAATTGATTTAGTATTCTGCATGGTAGGCAAAGAACTGCTTTGTTAATGACTTGCAATCTTGTAGACAAATCATTTCACATTTAGATCACTTAATTCTGATAATAAGCATTTTTAGTATGCCTTTAATATATTATTGAAACATTACTTAACACATGGTTACCTCTCTCTGAAAGAAGCAAAATTCAGTTTTTCTTCATGAGCTTTAATACTTAATTACTTTATGATTAAGTTTTTGTACAAATAATTTGGTATTTATCAAATATTTCGGCAGTAGAATAAGTATGCTTCTTTAAATAATGTAGTCTCTTATACTTTTTTGCTGCCAGAACTTAAATTAGTATAAAATTACCGAATTGGAATAAGATAATTGTGTATATTTATTTTTCCTCTCAGATATTGATGAATGTGTAGAACAACCAGAATGTAGTCAGCGATGTGTCAACTCACCTGGGTCATATACATGTGCTTGTCTGATTGGTTTTGAATTTGCACCTGGATCTGCATCACAGTGTATAAGTATGTCTGCATTTACATGATTAGATAAGTTATATTTCCTGACTTGTTTGTTATTTCTACTACTACTACTGATTTGACAATTTTGGGTCATATTGTCACAGTTAAAATTATTGTTTTGGAAAAAACTGAGTGAGCAAATGGTCTGAAAATTTGGACACATTAGTTATTGGTCTAGACCTAAATCAAATGGAATAATAATCTCAAAGAATTATTTCTAGTGCCTTCATATCAAAAGCATAAGTGGAGTCCCTTTAAATTGTACAAAGCTTCATTAAGATTGGTCCCTAAATAAAAGCTTATTTCTTATATAACCGTATAAACAAAGTATAAGTGCTACAATTTTGATCATATACATCTAATTGATGAGCTTTTACATTGTCAATATTGTCATAAATTCAACAGATCTTATTCGTATAATTTTTGTTTATAATTAACAGATATAGATGAATGTCACTGAATTCCAATGACTGTGAGCAGGGATGTGTTGACAGTATTGGAAGCTACACGTGCTTCTGTAATGATGGATTTAAACTTGCAGATGACCAAAAAAGCTGTATTAAAGGTATGACAGCAATTAGTTTGTTTTGTTTTTGTTAATAGTATGTAAATTTATCATAAGTTGAAAAAATATAGTGAGCTGTTTAAACTAAAACAACAGAAAACTGTCATTAGGCACTAGAGAGAAGTAAAGAAGCAAAAATAAGAAGAACAAAAACAAAAATAAGTAAAAAGAAAGGAAAACAATGCTAGAATGAAGCAACAGAAAGAAGCAAGAAAGAAAAAGCTGAAAAAAACAATAGTGAGCAATAATAAAGTACATGTAAGTGGTAAGAAATTAATAAAGAAAACAAAACTAAAGCAGGTAGAAAGTAGTGAAATAACAAATTAAAGTAGCAATAAAGCAGTTATAAGTAACAAAACAATATTAAGTAATAAAAGTTAATGTAAAAGCACTAAAGACAACAGTAGCGATAAGAAACAACAGTAAGCAGTAAGAACAATTAGAGTTAGTAAGCAGTGAAAAGAAGTAGAATATAGTTAGAAAGAAATGAGTTATGGTAATGAAAATAAAGTAACATTTAAAAGAAGATAATATAATATACATGTATATCAAGATTAGAAACTATTAAAATCAGTTCTCAATTAGTTTTTTTTTCAAAATCCTTTGGATAAATGATGGTAGTTAACAGAGCAATGACTATTTTTGTTACAGATAGTGCTACAGATCCTTGTTTAACCTACAACACAAATTGCCAGTATGGTTGTTATGTGACCAACAATAATCCCACTTGTTACTGTGCCCATGATTATAAACTGAATCCAGTGGATAAATCTTCTTGTATAGGTATAACATTTTTCATGTTTAATTATTACTCTTAGTGTGACTATAATAAATGGTTGATAACATAGAAAAAAAGCAATTATTTGTGCAGTTAACCTTGTAGATATATAGAGGATATTGACCGTGTGTCAGAGCTCAGTTTTGAATTTATTGAATGAGTTGAATAAAATTATATGATGCTGATGAGCATTATACAGTTTTCATTGAGTCAGGATAGCGACACAGGTATGTGATAAACTAAAATAGATTTATATCAATATCTATCTGCATACCATCATAGGTCTTCTCATGTCCCCCTCTTAGCTCAATATGAAGCATAACAGTCTTGTAATCAAGCTGAATGGGGTTGCCGGTCTGATCCTTAGACAAGGCTATATTTCTCTATGACAACTTCTTTAGGATATTGACTTTAATGGTCATTTATCTCTGACTTGTTTTCAGAATCATATTGGAGTAATAGTTTTTTTTTACTTAAAGCCAGGAAAGCTGGATATATGGACTGACTCATGTAATGCAATGTATGACCAAAAAATTGTAAAAACTGGTGTTAAAACTACCAAACAAACAAATAAAAAGTATAACTATCATCAGTTCTATGCTTAGTCAGAAAGTACAGGTATTAAATATTGTAACCCTGATTCATTCATCATAAACATCCCTTTGAATGTTATTTTTATCTAGGATAGAAAATGTGGCAAGACTTGTTTGATCCCTTTCTTATTATCTTGATAAGGTCTTGTGTTAGTGATAAAACTGATATAATATGTTTTATTTTTTCACAGCTTTAAACAACAAACTATGGGTAAATTTAACACCAGACCTAGAGTATTTCTCAGCTTATACCAGACCATCATCTCAAGATTACAAGAATATAGTCAGTGATCTTAGAAAATCAGTAAGTGTCCTTGGTTGTTATTTGTTATTCCTTTTTATAGTGTCTAACAGATGATTATTTTTAGGAAAAGAAATATATCATTTCACAGTAACAGATAACTAGACATATTTGCCCGCCTGTTTAGCTCAAGAGGGGGAGGATTGGATTTGGAATCCAGAGGTTGCTGGTTCAATTCTCAGACAAGGCAAAACTTCCCTGTGACAATTGATCTCTGACAATCAATCTAATGGTCATTTGTCTCTCAAAGCTGATTCAGGATTAATGCAGGATATGTAGTTGGTCATATGTGAAAAATTATTAATTACAGGCTAGTTATCTAGGAAAGTTTGTTTAATGAATTAACTGCCATGATATGACAAAAAAATATGTTAAAATAAGTGAAAAAGAAAAAAAGGACAAATAAACAAGTCATATGTTGTATTGATTCAATATTGAATTTTTTAGGCTTGAAAAAAATGCTTTTATGTTGAATCATTGAATAAGATTTTGCTACATGTACTTTATCATACATTATTGAATATTATAAGGAAAAACATCTTTGCTACATTGAAATGTATAGTGATTTATTTGGTGTGATACCTTTGTTTTTTTAGCTTTTAGCACTTTACCAGTCAGCAAATTTGACCAATGTAAAAGATGTCCGAATTGAAAGTATTTCGTAAGTTTGAAATTATAACATTTTCTAATATCTTTGTGTTTGATAGTATTTTCTTTATCTACATAAAATAGACAAGTTATATTTTTGATAGTTACAATTCGGTCTGCTTATCTCAGTAGGTAGGCCATGGGATTTATAACCCACTGGCTTGATCCTCAGACAAAGCCAAATTACTCATTGACAGGTGATCTTTGAGTCTAATTGTTATTTGTCTCTGACTTCACTGATTCAGTATCCAGAAACATGTTGGAATACTAGTTGGTTAATTATAGAGGAAAGGATTATCAAATAAAAACAGTGAAGGTTAAAATTCAATGAACGTTTCAAAAACAACTCATGGAGCACAATTATTAATATACTGCAATTTTAAAGAGCTGCATGAATCAATACATGGGTTTGTCTTGCCAACCATTATATTTCTAAGTTTGAAGTCATAAAGAATGCCACTTTCAGTTTGTGATTTAATTCAAAGTCAGTCTTTACAACTGCATACATTGTACTTTTTATTGATTGATTTTAATATTTTATTGATATATACTATATAGCCACAGTCTCAAAACTGTATGGACAACCCTTGCATTTCCTTAATTCTGCAAGAGACAGAAACATTTATTGAGTATTTATTTGTATTAAAGGTCTAATTTCGAGGTCAAACATGTAGTGTTTTTTGATGTGGAAAATATTACATTGGTTATGGAGATTGAGTTTGCTAAGGTATTAAAGAATCTTCGAGAAAGCAATTTTACAGTGGGCCAGGTGGAAACAAAAATTAACACAGAGCCAACAATAGCTGTCTCAGCCAAAGGATCACCATGTAAGTTTCATTTACATATGAATAGATCAATAAAGCCTGTTACATGTTTATCATCAACATCACATTGAATAAGATACATTGTATCAATAGGAAACTGTCAAATTATTGCCCTTTTTATGTTATTGTCTGAAAGATTATGCCAAGTATTTCTGTGTGAAGACTTCATAGCAGCATTTAATTTTCAAATATTGAGAAAAGCTATATGTAAAATCATAGGAGCTGTAGTGGTTGAATAAATTTCAATTTGCCTTATATGCATGAAATTGAAAATGGTAATAAATACTAATTCATGTGTAATAAGAAATGATAAAATGAGTTTGTTTATTTTAATATGTAATATGACATAATTAAAATTTATTCAATAAAATTATTTTGTATATTATGTTCAACTAATATAGTTAAAGTAACTTAAAAAACTATGATTAAGTTATTTCATATATGCACTAATAATAGCTCATTTCTAATAAATTCAAAAAACATTACTTTATACATGTGATTGCCTATTGAAGAATTTAGCTACAATTTCACCTTAATGACGTTATCTTGTGATATAATTTCAGCCTATGTGACCTGTATGCTGTGTAGATCAGCAGTTTGTATATTAACTAATGAGATAGAAGATACTTATTCCTGTGAAATACAACCAGGTTAGACTACACTCTAATATTGTTTGATCTACAGGCGAGAATAATAGTCATTTATCTCTCATTGCTGATTCAGAAGTAATGAAGGATCAGTACGTGGCCACTTGCAAAAAAATTGGTACACATGTTATTGCTGTGTGGTTTAATTCAGGAAGGCTCAGATTAGGTTGCCTTAGACTGCTGTGTTAGTCAGTGTAAAAACCAGATTAACAAACTTTTGTTGCATTGTGTCACAAAAGTTGTTTCTAAGATCTACATATATTTCTGTTACATATTTGTTTTGTTAATTAAATAAGCTAATATCCTATGTTTATAGATGTTTCCAGAATTAATCCTGTTTATCCAGTGTTAGTACATAATGGCATCTAGTACATTATTTAGATTTGAAAATGATAAACAAGTTATAGGTAGCGATTGTATAAATGTAATGATTTCATTATATCAATGTGTTTAATGGTGCCATGTGATAAGAATGTAACACATTGGCCTAGTAATTTAATTGCTGGTCCGGAAGGTCCAAACCCCATCATGTTGAGCTAGAAATCATGGGATAAGCAGTAAGTCACTTGCATAGAAATGGATAATTACTGGTTTAAATTAATCAGGTGAATTGACTGCCAAGATATGACTAAAAATGTGTTAAAATGATCACAAAAACAACAACAGAAAAACAAACTAATACAATTGATAATGCTAACAATGCTTGGTTTTTTCGGAAATAATAACGTAAGGCCTGAACTGTATTCTGTTTAAAATAGATATTTAATTTTAGTTTGGTATCATTTTGCCTTTTAAATTATCACAGATGTTGGAAGATTTATTCCCATTGAACTTGAAGTGAGGAAGGTGTTTGACAGTAATATGCAAGATAAATTGTCACCCAAGTTTGCTCAACTTTCTCGTGCAGTCACAATGTCTGTAAGTATACATTAATACATTATATAATATAAGTCACATTGACCTTGAAAGCAAAAACGGTTTCCGATCAATAACTAAAGAACCTTAAGGCCTAGGAACTCCAAACTTGGTATGGTGATTGGTCATGACCAGTAGATGACCCCTATTGATTTTGGGGTCAAGGGGTCAAAGGTCAAGGTCACATTGACCTTGTAAGCAAAAACGGTTTCCGATCAATAACTAAAGAACCTTAAGGCCTAGGAACTTCAAACTTGGTATGGTGATTGGTCATGATCAGTAGATGACCCGTATAGATTTTGGGGTCAAGGGGTCAAAGGTCAAGGTCACATTGACCTTTTAATTAAAAACGGTTTCTGATCAATAACAAAAGAACCCTTAGGCCTAGGAACTTCAAACTTGGTATGGTGATTGGTTATGACCAATCAGATGACCCCTATTGATTTTGGCGTTAAGGGGTCAAAGGTTAAGGTCACATTGACCTTGTAGGTAAAAACGGTTTCCGATCAATAATGAAAGAACCCTTAGGCCTAGGGACTTCGAACTTGAGATGGTGATAGGTCATGATCAGTAGATGACCCCTATTGATTTTGGGGTCTAGGGGTCAAAGGTCAAGGTCACATTGACCTCTTAGGTAAAAAGGTTTCCGATCAATAACTAAAGAACCCTTAGGCCTAGGAACTTCAAACTTGGTATGGTGATTGGTCATGACTAGCAGATGACCCCTATTGATTTTGGGGTTAAGGGGTTAAAGGGCAAGGTTCACATTGACCTTGTAGGTAAAAATGCTTTCCGATCAATAACTTAAGAACCCTTATGCCTAGGAACTTCAAACTTGGTATGGTGATTGGTCATGACCAGCAGATGACCTATTGATTTTGGGGTCAAGGGGTCAAAGGTCAAGGTCACATTGACCTTGTAGGTAAAAACGGTTTCCGGTCAATTAACTAAAAACGCTTAGGCCTAGGAACTTCAAACTTTGTGTGATGATTGGTCATGACCAGCAGATGACCCCTATTGAGTTTTACGTGAAAGGGTCAAAAGTCAAGGTCACATTGACCTTTTAAGTAAAAACGGTTTCTGATCAATAACTCAAGAACGCTTAGGCCTAGGAACTTCAAACTTGGTATGGTGATTTGTCATGACCAGCAGATTACTCCTATTGATTTTGGATCAAGGGGTCAAAGGTCAAGGTCACAATGACCTTGTAAGTAAAAACGGTTTCTGATCAATAACTAAAGAAACGCTTCGGCCTAGAACTTCAAACTTGGCATGGTGATTGGTCATGACCAGCAGATGACCCCTATTGATTTTTGGGGTCAAAGGTCAAGGTCACATTGACCTTGTATGTTAAAAAACGGTTTCGATCAATAATAAGAGAACCCTTAGCCTAAGAACTTCAAACTTGGCATGGTGATTGGTCATGACCAGCAGATGACCCCTATTGATTTGGGGGGTCAAAGGTCAAGGTCACATTGACCTTGTAGGTAAAAACGGTTTCTGATCAATTTTACTAAAAACGCCTAGGCCTAGGAACTTCAAACTTTGTATGATGATTGGTCGTGACCAGCAGATGACCCCTATTGAGTTTTGGGTCAAGGGGTCAAAGGTCAAGGTCATGACCAGTAGATACTTTATAACCCTTATTAATTGTTTGATCACTGGGTCAGAAGTCATGCATAATAACCTTATCACATGACTAATTGGCTGCTGATAGGGGGCATACATGTTTTACAAACATATCTTGTTTACTGAATATTTGGATAACAAAACAACATTATTCTTAGAAGAGGCCTTTCTTTGTTTTGTTTCATTATATTTTAATTAAATTTAACAATGAATAAATATAAGGATATAGATTTGGCAAATTTTGAACTTTTTATCTTTCAGTTAAACACTTTGTTCAGTACAGTACCTGACTTTGCTGGAATAGGACCATTAACATTTAGGCATGTATAGTCATTTTTGTCAATGATAAAATGGGCTAAATACTGTTTGTTATGGAGAAAATTATTCTACTTATGTCATACCAATATCATGTTCTATAAAGCACAGTCTCCATTAGCAACCATTCTTTTGTCAAAATGTGTTAAATGATCCAGCTATATGGAAGCTTGTGTTAGTTACGGAAATAACTAAATAGGGCACTTGGGGGTGTATAGGAGCAATAATTGCTGACTTTAACTGCCCATAACCTATGTGTGCTACTCATGGCTTACAAATGAACAAAGAGTCAAACCTTTACCTTGTCAGATAAAATAAAAAATTGCCATGTGACTGAGTGACATGAACCCTAATGTAACAAAATGAAGAGAAACACAATGTCAATGTTTATATGATTTTTTCTATTTCTAGAAAGGGAAGTTTGAGTAATCAGGGAAGCACCTATATAGAAACTTCGGTGAGGTTCAACACAACAGCTGGAAGTAACCAGATCTCAGAGGTTGCTCAAAGACTGGTAGACTTAGATGCAGACGGCTGTTTACATATTGAGGATGATTGTGTTGATTTGGTGGGACAATCAGTTCTTGGGACCAGAAAGGAAATAGGTCAGTTTTATGTTTTGTTCTTCTAAGTAAAGTAATGATAAAATATATAATATTAAAAATTTATCTCTCACAGCTAAATTGAGATGTGATGTCGGAAAACAAATTTGTCATTTTTGGATAAATTGGTAAAAACACTGGTTATAGAAATCCTGGTAAGCCGGTTTAAAATAGACTGCCTCACCCATGTTTGACTTAAAATATGTAGTCATAAGTGTAAAAAGCGAACAAACAAACCATATTCATCATAACTAGCAAATGAAATAATGATATGTAATGATTATTTTTCAGCCGCATGTAAGGCTTGTTCAGCTATGGAAGACTGCGGAAAAAGTGAGGTTGATGGATTATTTAAATGTATACCAAAAGAAAATGTTGTCCCTTCGTCATCAGGTTAGTACTTACCTTGAAAGGTCTCAAATGTATTATCTGATTTATCATCTTGTGTCTATGATAATAAATGATATGTTAGCCATAGTGTTAATTCTGCTGTACCATTTTCATTTAAAGAGAAATCACAATGCTTATGTTAGGCTGTAAAGTTTCTAAATAAGCTAAATATCTAAAGGAGGTCATTGATAATACAATAAGTGCAATAAGTGACTATTACAAATGTTGTTGATTATTCATGTTACTGAATAAAATATAAAAAACAGTTACTATGATATCAGTAGTCAATAAAATTATGAATCTGTTTACTATGTTAAGTGATTGTTTTATTTTCTGTATTGCAGATAGTTCAGATCTAATTCTAGGACTAGGTATTGGTCTTCCACTGTTCCTGATTATCCTATCTATATTGATCATAATATTTGTGTACTGTTTACGACGTAGAAGAGAAAATGATGGTGATTCTAGGGATTCATATACTGATGCGTATGTTAACATTTCTTTTATATATTTACATTCTATCTTTGTGCTGATATAAATGTAAGTGTTGCAACAGCTTTAAGATTTGTGTAATTTTTCAATGAAACATTCCAATTATAATTTAAATTTTTTAAAATGTTTAACTTTTTGAATATTCTTGGCCATATTTTAAGTTAATCAATTTCAATATAACGTATATACTTTGATTATTGCTGCTTAAGCAATACTTGATATGAATATCACATTCTGGTCCCTTTAAGGACTTATATAAAACATGCCTCTGGGGTCAACATTGATAACTAGCCAGTAATTACCGGCTCTTTACGTATCCCACATGATTTCATAATCATCGGTGAGATGCAAATAATGATCAAGTCGCATTATGATCATTTATTTCGCTGTCAAGCAATAATAAATTAGTTGTATATTTCAAGTGATTGACCATTACATTGGTGAACAAACAATAATTGATACTGAAAATAGTAAAGTATAAAATATAAAAAGGCTTCCATTGATAAGACTTTCCCACTCTTTTGATAAATTGAACATTACCAATAACTTCTGATGGATATTTATAGGTATCAGTGTGGGTCGAGGGGGTTATTGAGTATTATGTGACATTTATTATAGAATTAAAAAACAAATATGACACAATGTAAATCAATTCTACCTAAACAGTCACTCATGGATAGACATAATCTCACTTTAAGTTCTGTTGTCATGGGGGAAGCCTTTCCCTGGAATCGAAACAGCAACCCCTGGAATACAATTCTTAGGCTCTTTTTATTGAGCTTAGCAGGTTAACATCTCCATAACTACAATTCCCAGGGTATTCATACTTAGCGGTAGCATTATGTTTTAGTCCTCTATAAAAGTTACATAAATAATGCTACAGTCAAAAATATGCAATATGACCAAGTTACTTTCTTCCTCATAGGAGATCTTTTTCTAGCATATGAAGCTCATGTTAGCGATCTGGGGCAATGATGGTCTTATTGCCTTTTTATAATTGAGTCGTGTCACGACAAAACCAACATAATGGGTTTGTGACCAGCATGGATCCAGACCAGCCTGCGCATCTGCGCAGTCTGATCAGGATCCATGCTGTTCCCTATCAGTTTCTCGACTTGTAAAAGGGTTGGTAAGCCAACAGCATGGATCCTGATCAGACTGTGCGGATGCGCAGGCTGGTGTGGATCCATGCTGGTCGCAAACGCACTATGTTGGTTTTGTTGTGACACGGCTCATATGTCAAATAATGTTGGGGTTTTTTTGTTGTTTTTTTGAGGCCCCAACTGGATAACCTGGTTTATTTACCCTGTAATAGGTATGAGAGAGTCAAATAAGGTTAATATATTCCTTTCACTTGTAATCTGTACACAGGTATAATGTAAGACAAGCCTTTGGATCGTTGAGTTCAGCATTTAGTGGTAAACATAGTGATTTTAGTGAGACTGGTGGATTGTTTAACCGACAGTATCGTAAACACTGGGATAAACCACCCGAGACAGAAGAACCTTCCACTGTGATAAACTATTATAGAGATCCAGAAAGACGAGATCCCTACACACAAATATACCGTATGTATATTACTTTGTTTTTCTATGACCTTAACTGACTTCTTGACAGGTTTTATTCTCCAAATGTGTCAACTTGCAATACATCATTCCAAATAAGGCAGTTGGATAGATCATCAATTACTATAATCACAAAAACGTTCAATGCTGTCTATAAACTTTATAGTAGAAAGTACATAAGTGAATATATCTGGAAATATCCTTCATATATAAAATATTTTAATCTGATGTCATTGAAGATATTAATTCTATTAAGAAATCAGCAAATTTTCTACATATAGCGCTAAGAGAACGTTCAAACGTGATCAATTTTTGTCTATGTTAAAATACATGTAACTAGTAACTTTACTATTTCTATGATAAATGCTGTCATTTTTGCTATACATGTTTTTTATTATTTCTTAAGCATGTCTGATTTGTAGCATCCATAGATGTATATATGTATTATAAATCTTTAAGTGTGTATGGGCGTTATAACTTTATACAAATTTGTCCTTTGTCATTTGTTATTGAACAGGAAAATGACACAGAACGTGTAGTTGAATAAAGATTTGTCATTCAACTTTTTATTTTATTTCAGCTCCTTTAAACAGATCTTTCATACAGCCCAGTGCTCCACCAGAAGAACCACAAGTACGGTCAGATTTCTCCTGGGATTTCCTTTATAATGCATTACAACCTAATGCAGATGTAAGTCATTTAGAGTTGTTTCCCCTTATTAAGGGTTTTTGGCTGAATATGTGGAACGTTTTGTGTTATCGTAGTAAGATATCGCTATTATATTGGTCATCGTCCCAGCACATGCTACTTGGTATACTGATCTTTTTCAGATGACTGTGCAAGTTTATTCACACCGCCATGAGTAACATGCTTAAATATCTGGAAAATTTGTTAACATGATAATTTACATTTATATAAATTACTTTTCCAAATAATAGCGTTGATGTTTTTCTTCTTCTTACTTTTAATTACTTTAACACTGTAAATATGATTTCTTAATACGGCATACGAGCCCGAGTGGTTTAGGTAGTTGACTTCAGACCATTTGCCCCTCACTGCTTTGGGTTCAAATCCCGCAAGATCTTTCGGATTCCTTCATAGCTGTTTTTTGAAACGTCAGTGGTTCTTAAATCCGTTCATTTGCGAAATTATGTAAAAGGTGCACTTTGGGATTTCCTCCATCAAAATAGCTGTTAAGTCGCCATATGACCTCTTCTCTGTTGGTGCGAGGTAAACCTCAACCAAAAAAAAAAATGATTTTGATTGATCTTAACAGTTTTTATTTCCTACTTTTAAATATTATGTCTTTTGTTTTAAGTTTCGAATACAGAGACCTCAAGTAAACACAAGACCTGCGGAAGTGTTCCAGGTATGAACTTTTTTGAATAAATAAAAATGATATCGAAAAACATAGTTAAAAGTCATGTTTTTTTTTATCAGAATAGAAAATTTGTATGATAAATGTTGTACAGTGAGTGATAATGATTTTGATTTAACTCATCAATGTAAAGTTAAAGCAGCACGCCTCCAGATTCATGCTAAATTTCATGAAAATTTGAAAATGTATTTAACAGTAAAATATTGTAAAGTTACCAAAATAATACAATTTACACATTACCAATGGCACTTACAACCTATGAAAATTACTATTAAGAGGTCAAAATATGCCAAAATAGCCCTTACTGCATTAGTAACGCAGTAGAAATATAGTTATAAATACTGAAAAATTTGGTCATTAATCGCACATAACATGTAAATTTTACTAGAATTTTGAATCTTTATACTTTTCCTAAAATCATTTTTGTCAGGTTTGATTTTATCAAAATATTTTTGCTCATCTGGAGGCATGCAGCTTTAACTACATTATTTTATTATTGTATTAATCTTACTGAAATTGTATGACTCATTTTTGCAGCTGTTGTTTGTTGCTTTGTTTAGATTTTAACTTTGCTGTTGACTTAAAGTAATTTATAAAAAATATGTCTTCCTAGTTAAATGAATGTCCTATATAAGGAAATTCTTTACAGACCAGTTCGGAAAAAATAATTCAGATATCTATTAAGCAATTATTTTAAGCGCTTGTATTTGTTTTTAAATTTCAGGACTCTCAGGCATAAAGGAAAAGGGGAGGCTTTTTCATTGAATAGGTGTTCATTAAAAGATAATTATGTGTTCATTATTGTGAAGTAGTGTAGAAAATATGAGCAGTGCTGTTTGACAAAATACATAAGAGATGTTGTACAATATTAAGCCCGAATTGTTGAAAACAAAATGGCTTGGAATAAACTCGGCATTAATAGAAAATGATTGCATATATAAAGCTTAAGTTTTCAAACAAAGGAAAGAACAATGGATTAATATAAATTTAAGAGATGACAAAGCTTTTTATTAATAAGCAAAATGGTATAATGATGTAGTAGATCATGGTAAAGGGATGGAAACTAGAATGATTGATCAAGGCAAGAAATGGAATTAAGCTGAATCAAAGCAATTGTCAGCAGGAGTTTGGAAAAGTGAAACAGTTGGTCAGAAAATAGTTAGAGGTATCAAACAATGTTAGTATTGGAATGTCTCAGGTGTTTTATGAGTTTATGTAGGATTTTGATAAAAACAAATATTAAAACTTTTTTTTGTTCAGACACTGAAATGTTCACGACAATGTCACTGTCTTTGGTCAGTAGGAGCCTCCTAAAATGATAGTAATACAGTGTTTACTTTCTGTCATGGAGTAAGAAAGTGTAACATATGTAGACAGTGTGTTATTTTTCATTCCATCAACATTAGTGTTCCATAAATTGATCGTCTTTTTTATTGTAAAGATTCCGTTATTGCTTTACATCATAAAAATGCTGAGACTGTAAGTTTTGATAGAGTTATGAATTATTTATAATCATAGAATATTTTTCAAATTTACCTTACAATAGAAATGTTAATTTTTATTATAAAACTGGTATCATATAATTATTAAAGGATAACATATTGTTAAGTAAAGTTGATAAGAATTTTTACCATTTTTTGAGAACAGTTATTTAAATTTAACATTTTATTATTTTATGTTGAATGGTTTGTTATTAAAATATGTGCTGATAATATGCTATTTGACACTCCATCATTAGCTAAATATAAGATTATGGCAATATGTCAAACTCCTGTTCTGAAATTATTAGTTCTTTTTAATGAGATGCTACCATATTCATAATTTTTTTCCATGAAATCTGAGTGTACTTTATTATATGACAATATGTTGGTAATTCTAATCAAAACCTAAGTTTTATTTGATTAAATGTCATCATATAAGAAATTAGTTTTAAACACTCTTAATTCTAGTTGATTTACTGTTGATATGTTTAAGATTGTTAAGTTATACAGAAAAAGATTGTTTTTCTATTTGAATTATTTGAATAAACACGTATGCCTCCCTTATGCTAATATTTGTGTTTTTGTTAAATTGTAATTATGTTGTAAAAATTATGTTATGTATTAACTTGAATGACATTTAATTTCTTTGAATAAATATAATTAAAATTGTACATATTATTTGTATTTCATAATCCTGACAGTTCCAAAATAGGTAAATGTTAATTAAGTTGTTTAGGCAAGATAGACCGAATATAATTTAATATAATTTGTCTGAAAGTATGTGAGACTTAATCGTACTGAATATTTTATAATCACTTATAAGATTTGTATTCACGTCGTGATATGATTATGTAGTTTTGCTCATATTACATTATTGTCCGACTGGCCACCAATCCTTTCCGAGAACTGCATCACAATATTTGACTCTATGTAAATCAAATATTACTATTGCTAACAAAATTCCCGCCAATTGTCCATGTCTTGAGTCTATTTTAAGCTAGCTTATGGAACATCGGTGGTTTTACTTTGTTTCACGGCCATAATGCATGTAGGTGTCTTCTTCCAACAATTAAAGCTGAAAAGTCACCACACGATGTGGCTTAAAACCCCAAAAACAACAAAAACAAACGTGAATTACATCTGGTGCAAGCTATGTCATGGTCAAAGTGATCTTGAAACAGATACTTTTGTCGATCTAACACTGGAAACGTCACGGCAAAATAAATGAATATGGGCAGTAAGGAGGCCCCTATTATTCACGTCGAGGAACATAAAAATTTGAGAGTAACTAGTGAAGGTCAAGAGTTATTTTTCTTTCTGTCAGCTGCCATCTACTTGTTTAAATGTTATCATTCCATGTATCTGTGTTTTTTCACCTTATAAATGAAGACAAACTCGAAATAAATGTGAGTTCGAACAGTTTGTGATACTTAGTATATATCTAAATAATAACAAGCAAAACGATATGCTTTTATCTAGCATTTTAATGATATTTCTAGTCTTGAAATAGAGAAGCACAATTTCATTTAATATCCGAATCTAAGAAGGTTTTCATACTGTCGGGTTTGGTCTGATCATCTTCTGTCAAGAAACGTACCAAGCCAGCTAATGATACTTCTACAGGAATACGCCCATTTATATCCGGAAAGGAGAAGAAAAACTTCTCGTTATTTGCCATGTCCATCCGACCTATCGAATCCATGTCCGCTACGAACTCCTCTATAGAAATAAAGTTGTCGCCGTTAGAATCTATTGCTTTGACATGTGTTGACTCTACCTCGGTTATCATTTTAGTGAAAGCTTGTTTGTCGGATTCATATCGTTCCTTAAACATACCTATAAAGTCGCATAGAGAAATGCTTGCCCTGTTGTCTAACATAACTCTTCTCCATCGCCGTTCCAGTGTCCCTTTAATTTTTTCCTGTTGAGCATTTTTTACATTATTATGACCTTTGTAGAACTTCCGTCTAGAAAGTATAATTATGATTCTTTAACATAAATACAATAATGATACTTTAACGATAATATTTTTTAAATGTTGCTTTGTAAAAATATGAACTTTTCTGTAGTTACTATAGCAATTTGAACAAAAAACTTTACATGTATGATTTAAGATGAGCGATATGATGCCAATGACCCCTTTGATTGAAGATGTGCTGATAAAACTACTGTACAAAAGAACATAATTCAGAAAACATGTTAAGTGATAATAGAATAGAAATAAGACTTATGACAGTGATACAAGGGTATGGCATTCACGAAATATTTGTCTGTTCACACACGGGGAACGATCAAAATTAATCAGTACCGTTTGGTATTATAATTGATGTGTGAAAAATATCTTAATGACTGAGGTGCCTAGGTGACTGTGATTATTATTTTGTTTTTGTAATAGCGTGCTAGTTTCGCCCACATGACTTGTCATCTCTTATCCTATGCTTAATTGCATCGTAAATTCTTATCATTGCATATCTGAACTTAAAACCACTTATTTGATATATTTCTTACTCGAATAGATTCAGGTCATCCAATGACATCTCCCCGTCCTTATTGATGTCATTTAAGTAAAACCACTGTTCCCACTTCTTAATAAGGTATTCGTTTGCCTTAAACAAAAGAAAAATATAATGAAGAAAATATAAACTGTGCACATCGTTTACTTTATTATCATTTAAAAGAACATTTTGGATAATGATAATGTATAAATTTCACACTTATGTAAGAAGTATGTTTACATAGTGCAAAACAAACGACCGAATGTTGATCTTTTCTGCGCTTCGGACATGGCAGTTCCAATGAAACAGTAAACATACTTTATTTAAAAGATTAATATATTCATGTAATGTATGTATGAAAAAATACAATATCAAATGCATCCAGTACTTACGAGACATTTTTCAAATGGCTATTTTATTACTCTGCTCTGGACATGATAATCAGAATTGATAAATTTGTTCGTTGGTACAAATTTGTTTTTTTAAAGAATGAAATTAATCACAAACCTACTCAATACTCTACAATTATATCGCATTGTGAGTGATTTGTCTGTACCAAAAATGCACAAATTGAAATGTTGTAAAATTTACATTTATTAACTTGAAAAAGAAGAAAAAGAACAATGCATATTTACCTTGGCTGATTCTGGTTCGGTACCAATAGAATCAACAGCTACTACAATTAAGAAAAAAGAGAAATGAATGGATTGATACATCTAAGCTTCAAAATTAAATATTCTATGTTATAAAAAAGTCATTATAAATATGATAAATGCTCACAAATGTAAAGGGATAGGTGACAACGATCTATACTTCGTTCTTAAATGACTACAAGAATAAAATTTACAATATCAAAAACATACTCAAAGAAGTATGAAAAAAAACAGGTTTAAGACGAATGTAGCATAAAAAACCATCATTTACGAATAATTGAGTCTCAGCATTTATCTATATACATCAATCTAAATTAAAGGTTTATTTTCATATTTTAATATTTAAGACGTTTATAAAATCTAAAAATTCTGAAAACGTGGATAAAAATATCATTCCTGAAAAATTAATATATACTTATTACTTATGTCCATTTTATAATCACATTGATATACCTTTGGAACACAACACCATTAAAACTTGTAAGGTACAATATAGCTCCAGCCGCATTAAATACATTGTCTTCATCAATTTTCAAACAACAATTGCACAAGACTTATGTTAACTGTTTACTTACATGTTTATATACTGGAAACAATTATCAATAGCTTACAGCTGTATATTGAGTTCTTTAAATATGCAAATACAAATTTTCACCTGCATTTACGCATTTCATTTTCAGTTCCATTGTATCTAATGACATACACTTTTGATAAAATTATCTTCAAACGCATTCCTTTTACGTGAAGCTAAACTACGTTATAAGATGATATTTATATAATTATATCGTTTTTTTAGTTGGATATTGATTTTGTCTTGATCATGATATGCTAACTATTATTAACACCTGCATTCTAGTCTCTGTATACACTTATTGAAAGCTGTAACTGATATTTTGCTTCTCCACGGGTCGTTTGATGTTCTTACGTGTCAATGTCACGTCTTTGACCAATTAAAAGGAATTCCCCTTTGATAATGATAAATCAAAAGGTATGTATCAATCATAAAATAAGGAATAAATTGAACGCTGACGCCCAATTTCAATGAATTAAGCAATTATCATTTGTAAAAAAGAAAACGAGTGTTGATAAGCGTGGAGATTTTGTTATGGAAATAATCGAACATTCAGTCTACAATAGCAAATGAGAATCTCCAGACAATAAACAAAGCAAGACATAAACTCAAAAACAATACTCGTTAGCATATAAGTAAGTTCATACATACAAGTAATAAATAATAAACTGAAAAAATAAAACAACAACTGAAAGATTAGCGCTTTCTTTTCAATGAAGAGAATAAATTGTTCTAGCTATTTTTTTTATAACGGGTATGTATTAAATTTATTTATCTGCTAATGAATCACATATTTTATGTCATTATCAATAGAATAGTATGGAATACTTTTCGTTTTTAGAGTGTTTCCCTCCGTCAGAACAATGCTATAATATTAATATCTATGTAGTTCTGCATGGTATTAATTCGACTTGAAATAGTTTTTAAGTATATTTACCTTGCTTGTTTTGGGTTCGAATCCCGACAGGGACTTTGGATTCTTTCATGTGAGGAAGCTATCCAGCTAGTGTACGGAACGTCGGTGGTTCTACTCAAGTGCCTGTTCGTGCCTGAAGTAATGCACGGAAGGGCACCTGAGGTCTTCCTCCACCAGTAAAGCTGGAGTGTTGCCATATGACATAAACTGTGTCAATGTGACGATTAAACCCAACCTTGCTGACACTGGTTTCGACACAGAAACTGGAGACGTAAAATTGGACCTATAGAAACTATTAATCATTTAACTACATTTAAAAAGGTAATAGATGTCATACAACTAAATTTGCATAGTGTTATTGGTCGCCCTCTAAACAAAGTATATTAAGTAATTCTTTGAATATTTGATAATTCTTTGAATATTTTATAAAATTAGTATTTAAGTACTTATCAGTTCTTCTTTTATGACTAATACAACAAAATGGCCCAAACCTTTTCAAGGGTGTATTCATTTCTATTTTTTCTATTTTATTAAGTCCTTTTAAAGATATGAATAACATACGTATATAATAGAACACTAATACCTTATTTCCTACTATATATCATGATGTCAACTGAACCTTATAGATTCACAACCATACCTATTCACGTTCGTCTGGTTGACTTACAAGTGTTCAAATATGAATACATCTAGATCACGTTATATTGTTCAATATTGCGAAAAAGGATATATACATGTTAGCTTGATATGGAAACCACATTCATTTGAATCCGTTTACTTCACCAGTGCTTATAGCTTGGTATACACTGTCTACTCGAATGCTGTAATACAAATATGCTTGATTGGTAGAAATTCAGAGTATGCCATTGAAATAGATTTGTTATAACGAATCGTCTTCTTGGTATATAGTGTAAAGTTATTTTGATAAAATTTGTTCTTCTATAGACAAAATGAAATGTGTTTTTCATCAATTACTAGCTCGACAATTCGATAAGAATAAGTAGAACTATCCTAGTCAGCCGACCGTCGGCGTCGTTGTAACCACTTATATTAAAATTTTTGTAACACCTCAAATATTTTACAAGTCCATTGACACATATGGCTTTGAAACCTTGCATACTTGTTTTCCATCATGACCCTAACCATAGAATTGACGTTTTAGTTTATATAACACCCAAAATATTTTCTTAGTCCTCGGACACATGGCGGCTTTGAAACGTTGCATACTTGTTAACCATTATGCTCACAACGTGTACACCGGAGAAGGTTACTCTATCAAGCATTTTGGCGGAATTATATACCTTTTCTTTTTCGACTTAGAAAATATGTAAAAGTTCATTGACATATGGCTTTGAATCTTTGCACACTTATTCACCATCTTAACCCCAAACTGTAGACAAGAGGAGGTAACTCTATCTAGCATTTTGACAGATAATGTCCCTTTATCGACTTTACATTAAAGTTCGCATACCACCTCAGATATTTTCATATTCCATTGACATCTGGCTTTGAAACATGTTGAAATTGTATACACTTCTTTGAGAGCATAATAGGACTCTCACCAAGGCCTATAACTGTAAGTTCGATTTAATGAAAAAATTGGCCATTTGTGATCTTAGAAATTGTGCATTAAAAAGGCTCTAAGAAAAGTCGGGCAAGCTGCCTTACTGACAGCTCTTGTTTTGATCGTTTTATAGTTTCGACTGAAGATGCACCATATGCCTGTCGGCCAAAAGCAGAAACGTATGTAAAGATAGTTGCTATAGAGAAAGATATACTAGTAGTTAATACCGATGCAAGATACACCAGCAAATAGTATCGTATCGTTGACATCTCATTAATAGCAGCCCCTGCAATTCTAAAACATGAATTGAAAATGAGATAGATGGATTTCCAAAGTTGTTGTTGTTGTTTATCCAAACAACAAATCACGATCTGCTGCAAATGTCGTCACTGGTGACGACACATGGACGCATTTTTATGAGCAAAAACGAAATTAAGTTTTGGGCTAGAGGTCTGACAAAAGACCATTCATTGAAAAAGTAGCCAACAGTATTATGAATGATTGATTTAGTTATATGACACCTGTTACATTTTTAACTGTAGTTAAATGTTTAATAGTACCTTTAGGTCCAATTTTACGTCTCCAGTCTCCGTGTCGAAATCAGGGTCAGCAAGGTACATTTTTTGTAAACATACTTAAAAAAATATGTTAAGTCGAATCTATGATAAGCAACATTGCATATTATACAAATATGGACTTTTTAGCTGTTGAATATGATGTGATATGTACTGAAAAAAAATATTTATTGTTCAGTACATATCACATCATATTCAACAGCTAAAAAGTCCATATCTGTTTTATTATATAAGTTATAAATAGCTTTTATATGGCTTATCAAATTTGCCATTGCATACAACGGAAATTATTATTTTTCAGCTTGTCTACTTTTTCCATAATTTGGCCCTTTGTTTTAAGTGAGCACATTGGCGCGCTAATTTGTATTGTTCTTTAAAATGTTATGACAGTAACTAAAATATACTAATTTGACTCTTATTTACGAGTCACTCAATGTTTTTTTTTCTGAATAATAACAACAAACTTGGCGTAACGTCAGGTCAAATCAAATAGCTACGCGTTTCGGTGCTCTTTCTATTACTTATAGCACTGTAACAGTTATGGGTTCTGACAGAGAAACATTCTGAAAATGAACAAGAAAAGTGTTCCGTACTATATTGTTAATGTCATAAAATATGTGATTCATAAGCAGATAGATAAATTTGATACATACCTTTATCTAGAAAAATGTATTCTCTTTATTGAAAAAGAAACCGCTTCTCTTTCTGGTGCTGTTGTTGTTTTTTTGTTGTTGTTTTTTTTCAGTTTTATAATTCAGTGCTTGTATGTATGTGTGAACTTACTTATGCTAACCAGTATTGTTTTTGAGTTAATGTCTTGCTTTGTTTATTGTCTGGAGATTCTCATTAGCTATTGCAGAATGAATTTTCGATTATTTCCATAATAAAATCTCCACGCTTATCAACACTCATTTTCCTTTTTACAAATGATAACTGCTTAATTCATTGAAATTGGGCGTCAGCATTCAATTTATTCCTTATCTTATGATTGATACATACCTTTTGATTTATATTATTAAAGGGGAATTTCTTTTGATTAGTCAAAGACGGGACATTGTCAGGTAAGAACATCAAACGACCCGCTGAGAAGCAAATATCAGTTACAGCTTTCAATAAGACTTACTGTATACAGAGACTTGAATGCAGGTGTTAATAATAATAACTAAAAAACGATATAATTATATAAATATCATCTTATAACGAAGTTTAGCTTAACGTAATAGGAATGCGTTAGAAGATAATTTTATTAAAAAGTGTATGTCATTATATACAATGGAACTGAAAATGAAATGCGTAAATGCAGGTGAAATTTGTATTTGCATATTTAAAGAACTCAATATACAGCTGTAAGCTATTGATAATTGTTTCCAGTATATAAACATGTAAGTAAACAGTTAACATAAGTCTTGTGCAGTTGTTGTTTGAAAATTGATTGAGACAATGTATTTAATGCGGCTGGAGCTATATTGTACCTTACAAGTTTTAATGGCGTTGTGTTCCAAAGGTATATCTATATGTGATTATAAAATTGACATAAGTAATAAGTATAACTATATTTTTCAGGAATGCTATTTTTACTACGTTTTCAGAATTAATTTGAATAGATGTATATAGATAAATGCCGAGACTCAATTATTTGTAAATGTTTTTTTAATGCTACATTTGTCTTAAACCTGTTTTTCTTCATACTTCTTTGAATATATTTTTGATATCGTAAATATTATTCTTGTAGTCTTTTAAGAACGACGTATAGATCGTTGTCACCTATACCTTTATATTTGTTAGCATTTTGAGTACCGCTCAAGCCGGTGCTAGGGGGCGTGAGGGATGTTGCACCTATTCATTATCCCTCATGCACAGACTCAATCAAACCGAGTCTGCAATTCTCATGTTATTTTGTTGTGATTAATGCTTCCGATGGATCACTTTGTTTCCAGAATTTTATTCTTCACAACAGCAGGTGTCAAGTGCCGTGTGTCAGCTGTAAAAAGTTGCCCGTACTTCACTTCAGTGTTGTTATATTTTCTGGTCCTTCGGGATCATTGATACCAACACTATAAAGTGTTGAGAATTGAGCTCCGCTCAAGCCGGTGCTAGGGGTCGTGAGGGATGTGGCACCTACTCATTATCCCTCATGTACAGACTCAATCAAACCGAGTTTGCAATTCTTATGTTATTTTGTTGTGATTGATGCTCCCGATGATCATTTTGTTTTCAGAATTTTGTATCTCACAACAGCAGGTGTCAAGTGCCGTGTGGCAGCTGTAAAAAGTTGCCCCGTACTTCACTTCAGTGTTGTTATATTTTCTGGTCCTTCGGGATCATTGATACCAACTCTATAAAGTGTTGAGAATTGAGTACCGCTCAACCCGGTGCTAGGGGGGCGTGAGGGATGTTGCACCTATTCATGATCCCTCATGTACAGACTCAATCAAACCGAGTCTGCAATTCTTATGTTATTTTGTTGTAATTAATGCTTCCGAGGGATCACTTTGTTTCCAGAATTTTATAATGACTTTTTTATAACATAGGATATTTAATTTTGAAGCTTTGATGTATCAATCTATTCATTTCTCTTTTTTCGTAATTGTAGTAGCTGTTGATTCTATTGGTACCGAACCAGAATCAGCCAAGGTAAATATGAATTGTTCTAATTTTTCTTAAATGCAAATTATACAACTTTTCAATTTGTGCATTTTTGGTACAGACAAACCACTCACAATGCGATATAATTGTAGAGTATTGAGTAGGTTTGTGATTAATATCATTCTTTAAAAAAACACATTTGCACAAACCAATAAATTTATCAATTATGATTATCATGTCCAGAGCAGAGTAATAAAAAGCCATTGAAAAATGTCCTGTAAGTATTGGATGCATTTGATATTGTATTTTTTCATACATACATTACATGAATAAAATAATCTTTGAAATCAAGTATGTTTACTGTTTCATTGGAACTGCCATGTCCGAAGCGCAGAAAAGAGCAACATTCGGTCGTTTGTTTTGGACAATGTAAACAAACTTCTTACATTAGTGTGGAATTTATACATTATCATTATCCAAAATGTTCTTTCAAATGATAATAAATTAAACGATGTGCACAGTTTATATTTTCTTCATTATATTTTTCTTTTGTTAAAGGCAAACAAATACCTTATTAAGAAGTGGGAACAGTGGTTTTACTTAAATGACATCAATAAGGATGGGGAGATGTCATTGGATGACATGAATCTGTTCGAGTAAGAAATATATTAAATAAGTGGTTTTAAGTTCAGATATGCAATGACAAGAATTTACGAACCAATCCAGGATAGGATATCGGATGACAAGTCACGTGGGCGAAATTAACACGCTATTTCAAAAACAAAATAATAATCACAGTCACCTAGGCACCTCAGTCATTTAGATATTTTTCATACATCATTTATAATACCAAACGGCAATGACTGATAATGAACGTTCCCCGTCTGTATACAGACTAAAATTTGGTGAATGCCATACCCTTGTATCACTGTCATAAGCCTTATTTCTATTCTATTATCACTTAACATGTTTTCTGAATTATGTTCTTTTGTACTGTAGTTTTTATCAACACATTTCCAATCAAAGGGGTCTTTGGCCTCATAGCGCTCACCTTAAATCATATATGTAAAGTTTTTTGTTCAAATTGCTACAGAAAATTTCATCTTTTTACAAAGCAACCTATAAAAATTATTATCGTTAAAATATCATTAATGTATTTATGTTAAAAAATCATAATTATGCTTTTAAGGCGGAAATTCTACAAAGGTCATAATAATCTACTAAAAAATGCTCAACTGGAAAAAACTAAAAGGACACTGGAACGGCGATGGAGAAGAGTTATGTTAGACAACAGGGCAAGCATTTCTTTAGGGGACTTTATAAGTATGTTTAAGGAACGTTATGAATCCGACAAACCAGCTTTCACTAAAATGATAACCGAGGTAGAATTGACAGCTGTCGAAGCGATAGATTCTAACTGCGATAACATGATTTCCAAAGAGGAGTTCGTAGAGGACATGGAATCGATAGGTCGGATGGACATGACAAATAACAAGAAGTTTTTCTTCTCTTTTCCGGATATAAATGGACGTGTTCCTGCAGAAGTATTATTAGCTGGCTTGGTACTTTTCTTGACAGAAGACGATCAGACCAAACCTGACAGCTTCAAAACAATCTTAGATTCGGATAATTGATGAAAGTGTGCTTCTCGATTTCAAGACTAGAAAATATCATTAAAATGCTAGAAAAAGGCATATCTTTTTGCTTATTATCATTTATATATATGCATAGTATCACAAGCCGTTCGAACTCACATTTATTTCGAGTTTGTCTTCATTTTTAAGGTGCGAAAACACAGATATATGGAATGATAACATTTAAACAAGATGGCCCTGAGTCGCTCACCAGAAAAAACGGCTTTACAGTGTTGGACATTATTTTTTAAAAGAATTTGCTGAAGGCAAGTCTAGCTCTTTCGGCATGTTCAGCTCAACTTTAACTTGCCCCTCTAGTAATATACTTTCACAACACTGATTGTTTTAGCTTTTCTTTTTTTCTTCGTAATAAAAAATAGGGCCACTTAGATGGCTTTAGATCACTCATCTATCCCATCATTTCATTATTCACAATATAAATTGACATATTTTGCCCTAATGTTTTGGAAATGCTATGTTAAAAATATGTATGTTGCAAGTGTGTTCCTATGAGGAGGATTAATTTTGACTTAACATTTTTTTTATAACTCTTTTGAATGAAAACACAAAATGTCCAATACAAATCATTATGTAAGGTGTAGATGTTTGAGGACAACAAATTGTTAATACATTTTGTATGGTAACATAACTGTACCTAAAAAAAGACAAAAGGTCAAACATTGTAAATATATGAAAAGTAGGCCAGTTGATAATCAAACTTCAATTCAGCATCAGAAATTACAACCTTAGTCCAAATTCAAGTCTGTATGTCAAAAAAAAAACAAGAATTAAGGTCAAATTATATAAAAAATATCAAAAGTAGGTCAGTTGATATCAAAATTCATTTTGGCATCAGAATTTACACACCTGGTCCAAATTTAAAATCTGAATGTCAAAATACAAGAAAGTATGTCAAATGGTGTCAATAGTACCTAAAGTAGGTCAGCTGGTATAAATTTAATAAAATATTAAGCATAACATAAAAGCTAATCCACATATTGATGTGTTTGCTAAACAATTGTATGCAGTTGAATGTATTATCTTTATCTCTCGCTATTTCTCTCTACCGAAACATTCAACTGAATATGAATTTATACAAGCAAGGAAGATGTTTTACTATTTTGAATATTGAATAAGCAACACGCTATCAAATATATAACAGCGACACAATCAGACAGCTTAATCAGTCTTGCTGTTTTCCTATAAAAAATCGTTTTCAGATCTGCGCTTAAGTGTACGCTGAATAGTATTGAAATGGTCTTAGCATAATCTTTGCTTCCTTTGGCACGTCCAACTATCTTTACCATATCGTCTTAAAGGCAATACGAGATGTAAGCAATGGTCGGTTAATACGAGGGGTGATCAAGAATTACGTAGACTGGCTCAATGTCTCATTTATTGTTTGACAAACGTACATAAAACTTATATCACATGAAAGTACGTTTTATCAACAAACAGCATGCAATTTTGTTTTACAATATGTTTACATAATTCGGAATAACAAACAATTAAAAATGTGTCACTACCGTGGTACCGGCCCACGTCGTCAAAAACTCTTGACGTCAGCAACGTCGCAGCGTTGTAAGTGTTTAAGGAAAAGTGTCAACTGGCACATGACATTCAGACTTTTTCAAGTATGAGCCAGAACATGCAGTGCAACGTTCATGCCTCTGAAGCCACTGAGAGAAGAATATATTCCTTTAGTACTATGCTGGATACTGACGTATTAGGGGGTTTGTCGCTGACTGTAATTCCTCCAAATTCTCAAGGCGCTGGCCCTTCAGCTGGCATTTCAAATTAGGGAACATTGAGAAATCAAACGGAGCAAGGTCCGGGGAATATGGGGGATGAGGCAGGAGTTCAAATCCTATGACACCTATTGTGAGCTGTGTGGAGGCTGCCGTATACGATGATGCATTATCGTGACGCAGCATAAAATAGATAAATACAGAATCCCTAAAGAAAGCCAAACACGTCAAAAATTGAAAATGTGCAGGCTCGGTTTGATTGAGCCTGTTCATGGACGTTACTGGAAAGTGCAAGTTACCATCTACGCCCCCTAGCACCGGCTTAAGCAGAATTCAACATTAATTATTTCAACAATAAACTGGTGAAATTTTGAATTCAGAAACATCCGCAGATGTGTTCATAAATCGCTCCTCTTCTTCCTCAGCGCCCGGATGAGATCTCGATTCAGCACCTGTTAAATTGTGTATTTTATTCTGATGCATGTTCTGTATTATTTTGTGCATCGGCACGTTAAATAGAATTATATCGTTGCTCGATTTAATTAATGAAATCACGGGAGAAATAGTTTTAAAGGATTTAATGAATTAATAGTATTATTTCAAAATAAATCTTATAAATAAAACGGTTACAATACGGATACGGCTACATGTAAGTACATGTATTTTTGTCATTATTGTTTAATAAATGTATAAATATAGTAAACATTATATTTTACCTTCCAATAATAGTCTGCATTGATGGTCGTCCCGACTAGCACTGCATGGCATAGCATACCCCTGCAGTCGGCGAACATCATGTACATCTGTTTTCCGGTAGATCGTCCTACACGGGCTTTCACTGGAGGTGGCGACCCTACTTGCCTCCAAACAGCAGATTGTGCCCTGGTTTCTGGATCTCCCAGGTATAACCAGGTCTCATCAGTCGTGATCACATAGTTCAGGAAGTCCGGGTTCGATCTGCACTCGTGAATTCATTTCCACATCTGTCAAGAGGCAAGGAACCCACCGGGCGTGAACTTGTAATGTTTCAAGTGTACTTGATAAGCAAATATTAAGGTATTTTGTAAAATTATTTAAGTTTTGATACATTGTTTATAAATTTTAATCACTCATCATGTTTGAAACAAATGTGTATTAGTGCATGTAATTGTTTATAACAATACGTGCGAAATTATAAATTAGCGCGGAAAAATTTAATTTTTATATTCGAAACTGAATAGGTTGTTTCGAAACTGAATAGGTTGTAGAGTGATTAAAAAACAACATAAGTTAATGCACATAAAATGCCTTTCGCAAGTTCAATTTCTTGGTGATAATTGTGTTCGTGTTTCCATAGCTCATCCCAGTTACTTCTGATATCTCTCGAACGGTCACTCTTGCATCCTCCTTGATAATACATTGTATCTTCAATTGACGTCACATCTGACGGCTTGACGCTCGACCTTCTTCCACGTCCTTCATCATCTTCAAGTGACTTCCGCCCATCAGATAATCGCCGGAACCACTTAAAAACGAGGGCTCGAGAAACAGCATTCTCTCCTCTGGTCCCCTGCAGCTTTATATATGTGTCTGTAGGCGTTTCACCTAATTCCATGCAGAACTTTATGTTGGCACGCAATTCAAGGCGTTCTTGTGATGTCATTTTTAACGTAGCTGCGAGTAGTATAGTATGTAGTTGATGAATCCCGCACATTTTTGTGCAGGCACACATTTTGGTGTTTATTAACATATGCAGATTTTACTGTTATTTAATATCAGCTTTATTAACATATGCATTAATAACTGTTATTTTATATGAGTGGTTTAATGTTTTATGTGTGTTTTGAAGATAGCAAGACGGGAACTCGTATATTTATCTCTCAGAGTTTGGATTACATGAATGTAACAAACAAGACAAAATTTCATTTTTTTATGTTTGAAATAAAACAATTCATCAATCATGTCTGTTTATAAACTCGGGATGATTGCTCTGATATTCTTTGAAATAGTGGATTGCGTATATGATTCAGAGGATACAAAACGACAGTTTCCGGTCTTCGACGGTCCCGGTCTTCACAGACCGATGATTCTCCGAATTTTGAAAGCATAGCAAAACACCGTTACCCGGAATTTTCTGGAGTGAAATGACGAATTCTATATGGTTTTTTTGTTTTGTTTTTTTGAATAAAAGTTAAATAAAACAGTTATTTCTTTGTAAGAAAATAATTTTAAATATCATTGTATGAATAATTCAATCCAAAATAAAGTAAATACAAAGTTTACGCAGAAAATTTATCTCTATTTATTATGGAAGATGTAATTATGGAAGATGTTTTATGAGCGCGCGGCTGTCCTGGTGACATATGACACTAATTGCTAGTTGTCATTCATCACGTGTCATTATAAAAATTCTGCGCCGTATCTAAACTTTTACACGCGTTATTTGTACATTTTATACATTTTATTCTTTTTAATCTTGGTTTTATTTTGGTTTAAATCAAATATGACATATTTATGTTTCTGTTGCGGTAGAAATTTTGTTTCTGAGGAACAATTAAATCATCATAGCTGTGAAGATCTAAACCCGTAAGTTATTACGTTTACACATTTTTTTAGAATATATTTTAGTATATTTATCTTAAATGATATTCAATTTCAATTTTACTAATAAGTCTATATTGAACTGAAATTAATTTTTTATTGAAAAATAAAACGCGTAATATTTTGTTGTTGTTGTTGTTGTTTTTCTTTTAGAGTTGAAGAAATTGAAAAAAATGCAGACTTCTGAGGACGATAATTCAACTTGAAAAAAATCTCAGAAAAGGTAAGTGAAACAAAATTAGTTTTTTTATTATTTACGTTATATCTGTAACTAACTATAGTTTGAGTAACACGAGAAGTCGCGTAATGGTTACATTTTTTTTTAAATTTTATTCTCTTAAAACTAAAACTAAATTTAGAATTGATCATCTTATATTCCAATTCTGTTATAATTTTTTTTGTCATGTTTAATTTCAGCTTCAAATCAAACTCTCAACATTCATGCGAGAAATACGGGAAAATATTAGCTAATGCTTTTTTATAATCGACGACATAAGAAAACATGTGACTAGCAGAAGATGCGTACAACAAAACTAACATCGTGCAAATTTTTTCGGCAAACATTTCCCTCGTATTTGATTCAAAATATTTATCGACAAAAAAAAAGTTATTATTTCTTAGTTACATACGCGTCATGAAGTTAAAATCATAATACCTAAAATTAATGTAATCAGCATAATATGTTCGTTTTGTGTGTTAATCTATTCATTCATCAGGTAATAACGTGTCCTCGACACTTGAGAAGAAGTAAAATACAAACCAAAAACTGATCTAAGTCCTTACAACTATTTTAAAGAATGAGCCCTTTATTTGTAACAACTGATGTTCCTAGGAAAACACATGCAACAACATATTGAAATTGGTAATGTCACAATTATTAAAATG